GTTGTATGCTTTACATATTCAGTGAAAGCATTACTTTTATACTGTATAGGTAGTATAGTTACCCATTGTGTAGCATTATCTACAATGGTAAAAAGATATTCATACTTACTGTAAGCTTGTACTAGGGCAGGTCCCTATATATCAATATGGAGATAATCTCTATAGGATTGTACAAGAGGTGTTGTTTGTATTTTTGGTATTTCATTGTGTTGTATGTTTGCTTTGATACAATCTGTACACTGTGTATTTTTATTGTCTGTTATCCTTTGACTTATAATCTCAGGATACTCTTGTATGAGTTTGTACAAGTAATCAAAATTAACATGACCCATTAGTTGATGTAAATCAACAATAGTGATTGCATTAATAGATCATTTATTATGATGAGAAACTATCATATACAAGTTATTTTGTACATGTATTTCACCAATCTTTGTATGAGCAGGAGAATAAATAATACATTCATTGTTTGTTTTCATTAAAACATATCCTGCTTTGTATAATAGTGCTTCACTAATGAGTGTGAAGTTCAGATTAGGATGATAGTATATGTTTTGTAGTGAAATTGTATTCACCTTTGTATGCTCATCAGCTTTGTCTTGTAGTTTTACATTAAATGTCATCACTCTACTTTTACTAAGTGTGAATAATGATTTATTCACAATTGTAACATTTATTAGGGTTGAGTTCCAAACGTTTGTAAGATAGAACAAGTATGGAGTAGTGTGTACATTTGCACCAGAGTCCAATATATTAATACAATGTATTAGTTCAGTATTATTACAATGTATTGTGTTGATACATATGTTTGGATCATAATTGAACTCCTTAATAACTTCTTTTGTATTGTCAAATGAGTTCATGAAGTTGTCTACTTGTATAACACTTTCCTCTTGTACTTCAAATGCTGAAAATATGTTAGATTCAGTAGATAGAGTGGATTGAACAGGTAATCTGCTGGAACTTGATACTAAGGCTTCTACAATTGTAGACTCTAGCATTAGTGTTTCATTAACATTTTTAATGAATACTGTTTTGTTATCATCTCCAATAAATACTACTGTATTAAGTGTAGGTTGAGACAGTGTAGTAGTAGTAGTAGAAGCAGTAGCTGTTTGCCTATGCTTTTTCTTTCAAGCTTCTGTTGTTTTGCTTGTTAGAGGATTTTAGCAGTCTTTTAACATATGCCTGTACTTATTACAGTTGTAGCATTTAACTTTATTGTAAAGCTTCGTTTTGCCTTTAGCTACACTTTTGCCTTTCATTTGTAGACTGTCTTGTTTAGTATCTTGTTTTGTTTGAGAGTACTGAGAATGATACTTAGTATATACATTTTGTAATTTGTGTATCAACTTAGCTAGTGTCAGAACGTCTTTCTAAGCTGCTGTAACTGTTGGTAGTTGATTATAATAGGTAATCTGCCTGTCTAGCATTGTTACTACCCATCTATACTTATGAGGAGTAGTGAGGTTAATTGCTAAGATGTATGTATTGTTATTGGGGGCTTTATTATGTGTAGACAACTGCCTGTAGATTTGTTCAATGTTGTCTAACATCTTATCAAACTGTGATACATACCCTTTTACTGTAAACAATGTAGATATGTTTACAGCATGTGTCATTGTTGTTTGAACATTGTATTGTTCAGAAAGCACCTTCATAAGACTTCTAACACTTGTATACATTGTAAAGTTCACATAAATTGTATCAGTTATTGTTTTCATTATACAATAATACAAAACATTGCCTGTATGTATGCTAGCATCATTGGAGGAAGGGGGATTGTGCTCTAGATGGTCTAAGAGCATCATGGCAGTGAGTGCACTGTGTATACACAAGCACCATATCTTGTATCCCTTTGCACCAGCCAACTTTTCTGTTCCCTCAAAGAACTTCATAATGTCAGAGTCCTTCATTGTAGTATTAACAAAGGTATGCATTGTAGACAACATTGTAATGGATTTGGGGGGAGAGGGAGGTCTTGGGCTTAGTGGTCTGGCAGGAGGCAAAGGTGTTCTGTAAGAGCAAGTGTGTAGGAGCATTCAATGGACACCAAGGCTCATAACCTTTTAACAAGTGTAGCAGGAGTGCCCCAAGTACTCTCTCTTATTGAGACATCAAGCAAGTATCTACCTTATATACTACATAGTGAAGTCCGATAATCTGAGACATTCCAAGTGCAGTAATTCTACATAAGGCAATTGGGGATTTCCTAATCCAGAGCACAATCTAATAGTAGCAGTGATAGCAAACAAACCTTCCAGGTCTGAAAATGCAACAGTCTCGTCATCCTCACTTTCTTCTGTACCCCAGTCTCCAGCGAAGCAGCCATTCAATATAAGTACCCAGTGCGATACTTGCCTTACAGATTGTTATTACAAGTCCTTCCCCTCGCACAACGCGAAAAGCTCTTCATTAATCGTCAACAACGGAACCTCTTAGTCTTTCAACGACGACTACGCACTTTTGAAGACTTGCTGCGAAGAGTGGGTCAGTTTGGTGATTACAAGACCGAGCTGAGGATATTTGGATGTGTAAAAGGAACTCGAAAGTTATGGCTGCGAAGATAGTGGTATATGCTTGTGAGGTGTCTGTTAGAAGCCTAGGTAAATAATCAGCTCAGAACTGCGTATCATGCTACTTTCCTAGACCAGTGCTGTTTACTCCATGGGCTATCCTGTCGATATTTCTACCTTTCTCTTTCTATCGTCAGATTATTAACATCGCAATCTGTCCACCCCTCAGAAAATGGAAGGCCCTGGTAGTCCGACTTATGCTAAAGCAGTGGAATACTTAAATGTTCATTCTAATGTTACAGGTACTGCAATGTTTGATGGGCGTTATGTTCGCATTTTTGGGACTGTATATTGCGAATTAGAACTGGTGGTCTTCGGAATGAAGATTAAAGAAAGGTAGGCTTTTCATGATGATGCTCGTCTCAGATTCACAGACACGTGCAAGGTGGACTGGATTGGACACGCATATACTCACGTTCACTGTACTCGAAGTCGGAAATACTTCACTAATGGTCATGTACTCTCTCTACTTCTGCGAACCCTTCTTCTCTTCCACGACTTTCATCACTTCTTCGACAACGTGATAGTACATCATCCGAGAACCAGGCTGCAACCCACGATATACAACAACAGCGCACCATCTCTTGCGGATTCCAACTGATTGTTGTAATCGTTTGATTCGAGTTAGAGTGCCGGGGATGGCGAAGGAGAATATTTCGATTGACGTCTCAAAGGACTGTCTCGTCGTTAAGGGCGAGGCGGGCTACAAGGATGTCGAAGAGAAAGGGTTCATTCATCGTGAGAGGCGTACGGGGCGTTTCGAACGTACTTTGCCGCTTTTGACTAGTACTCAGGTAAGATTGCATCGAAATCTCCAGATGAAAGGGTGTAAGCTAGCTCCAGTTCATGCAACCATCTGATGTCAAAGCATCGTTGAAGAACGGCCTGTTGACGTTCATGTTCCCCGAGACTTCCCCCGAGCAACTCCCGCAGAGAGTTATTATCTTAGAAAAGCACTACCTTTTGCACCTTGCTTTCATTTCCGCAAATACTCATTCTCTTCGCGCTCACGACTCATCTTAGAAAAGCCTATTTGATTGTTCTGCTCAAATGGACTTCAGGATGCCAATGCAGGTCTTTAACACAGTGTTGTATAAGATGAATCATCGAGAAATTGATTTCAAGGCACTGATGAGGAACTACAACACAGGGACATAGATGCAGATCGGATCTTTCCATTGTCCGTGGAGGTAGTTAAAAGGACAACAACTCGATAGCAACTTAGACAGGTAGTACTGCTAGATCCCAGAGCTCTTGAATGAAGATGATGGCGACTCTTGAACCGAGCCAGGCTATATCACTTGCATCAAATGTGTACATTTACCGGGTATGTGCTCTGGATGGTCCTACAATATCTACTTATCGGTTTGCATAGATTACAATGGGTATGATCCTTTACCTTTCTGAGTTTATCACCTTATGTTTATTTACTACCAACATCCGAAGTCGCAACAATCACAGCCTTGGTGTGTTTCTCACTCCGTTTATTCCATGTCTCGAGTATAATGTTATGTGTCCTCAGGTATACAACTACTCGCTGACAATTAGGCATGAGAAGGAGCTCATCTGGCCATCACGCATCTCAGTTGTTAAAGCTCTTTTCCTGCTGAATCGGTACGCTCCGTTTATCGGGATTACCGGTAACCTGTATGGTATGGAGGAAATCCTTTTTTAACGTGTCTGGTCTGGAGGACCGACAATTTCGCTCCCTTTTTTTTCAGTATTAGTCTTTCTTGATACATCGACTCATTTTCAAGTGAGTAGGTGCACCTCATGCAGGCTCATTATTCTAACATTTATATCAGGACTGCATACCCGCCTTCTGGATGGGCGGTAGTAGGTTGAAGTTGATCAAAGCTGTATTCGTACCTTATTGACTTAAATACATAGCCTTTGTAATTGCCGGATATGTATTTGCAGAATGTAAGTAAGAAATTCATGACATCCTAGTAGGCTGTTGTCTTAAGTTTTAGTGATCCTATACACTCGAGCATATGCTGTCTGGGGACGTACAAAAACGGCTCTACTCATGATTATAATCATTATTCTGGTCAGTGAAATATTACCCGACAGAAATTCTAATGAACTAATGCTTCTCCTTACCTCTATAGGTTGTTTTTACCCCTGGAGTGTATCTGGCGTCAACGACTCTCAAATCGGCCACCAGTCTGTCCACATTGTTATATGCATGTGGAACAGTACATCTAACATACAAAAAGTCCATGATTAGCATATCTTCCCTACAGGCTGTCTAATAAATATGGACAGACATGTTACAGTTCTCTACTCTTGTACCTTCAGTTCCAAGGGTTCTTGTTAAGATGAGACTACACGAGAGTATGTCTCAGATGATATAAACTACATTACAAGCAATGATGAACGATGATGGAATACCTTCCATCATACATTCTACATCTGAGACATACCTACATAGTATATATAGACTAACTAATCAACAGACAATGAAGCAAGCCGCGAGAGAGCGAGCCGAGTCCACTATCCCCCCTCTTTGTGTGATCCCTCTAAGCCTCTCACATAACCTCTCTTCCCCCTTTCTTAACAGGTTATGAGCCTTGAGCTCCCTGCCTACACTTTATCTACACCCTACTACATCTATGCTCTATGCAGTTCTACACATCACCTGCCTACACTTTATCTACACCCTACTACATTTATGCTCTATACAGTTCTACACATCACATACATGCACACAGTATACTACGACGCAGAACTCGACTCACTTGTCTGAGTATCCCAAACACGAATCGATATGCTGCAGACACACAATCTACTATACTACATACAACCCAGACATTATATGATTGTCATCTTAGTGATTATGATCATTAGCCTAGTAATAATGTAATCTATACAGGCAATGTTGAAACTACAATGAGTATCACTTACTACGATTATTAAATGCTAAAATACTCTATAATATTACAGAGATCATGTTATAATAAATTAACTGATCATACTACAGACAAATGTTAAAAAGATTAATAAAGCAAACGCTACTCTTCTACTATTAACATTACAATAGTACAAATGATTGACACTGTTAACGAACAAACATACTATGTTATAGCATAAATCAAATTATAACACATATAGTAATATCACGGCTGAACGATTAATGCTCAAAACAAGCACATATATGCTAAACAACATATTAAATCAAATAAATAAAATTTTAACATGTATTATAAACGATAATACAATTGTGGACACTATAATAACAATAATAATAACAATAATAATAATAATAATACAGATAGAACTAACGGAACGAATACAGAACAATATTATAACTAACACATATTATGGTTGAGCAATTATATGTAACATATTGGATTCAGTGGTTACATGTCGGATATTGTGATTACTTATCAGATACCGAATATAATACACATATCTAAGATATACAGACAAGCACAGATATACAAAAGTATAATTAATAACTACAAACCAAAAAACAATGCTACAGAGTGTATAAACTAACTACACACGAAAGAATAATGTTATAATGTGTAAATATTAACTACAGTACAAAACAAGTGCAAAAATTATAATTATTAAACAAATGATACTACTTTACACATTAATACGATTGTGTAAATGTATACTAACAACGAATGAAAGAATTATATCTCTAATATACTCAAAACAATGCATCAATACAACTTAATTATGTAGAACGTGTTATCATGGCAGCTGATTATATAATAAATTTCGAAGTTGTAACAGTAACATTAACTGTATAGTGTATATACCTTAACGAACGATTATTAAATTTACATTGTGACAACATAGCTTGTAGGAGCAAAGTATTAAGCTGATAAGGCTATTACAACAAATAATACAAATATAATTATTACGAACACATTATTATAATAATTATGATTGAAAACAATCATAATATAATATGATTAAATAAATTAATAAAA